ATTTTTAAAAAAAAAAAAAAAAAAAAAAAATTGACAGAAAAAATCGATTCTCTTTCAAAAACTATCCTTCAGTACGCCACTACCGCCATTTAATCTGAACGTACGGTAATACTATTAAACAAAACCATTTTTTTTTTCCATTATTATATTCGCAACTGATTACATAATGTCACGTTTATACAAATAACGGTATTAAAACGATTTTGTCCAGAAAGTATGCAAGTATACATATTGTGCATCGCCAATACGCACTGCCTACTGGTTAAAACAACAATGCAAGGGGCATTTTTTTTTGTTTTTTTTTTTTTTTTTAATTTTTTTGTGCAATCTCAGTTCTCGCAACATTTAACTGCGTGCCGGCGCAGTCGATTATTATTTATTGTCGTTGTACACAAATATTGCAGTATTATAGTACTCGACGAAATATACGAGCGTACTGTAGCTATAATATTATTATTATACGAAATCCCTCTCTTTTTCTCTCTCTCTCTCTATTTTTTATATATATATATACACGATATGCGTGTATATTATGTATAGGGTGAAAATGAATTCGGAAAACGATATGTCCCGCATATTAAAGTGTATACTACAACACACACACGCTCGAGAGGCAGGAAGGAATTCCCGGTGTCCGGGCTGTTGCTCGTAAAAACCAACGACTCCCGGACGCGCGGCGCTCGGATCCGCTCGTAATTCCGTTTCGACGCCCCCGTCTCTGATTGCCCCGACTTCGAACGACGGACATTATTGTATATATCGCACGATATCCAGTGTGCGTGCGCGACGCGAAATCGGTAAAGGGACAGCGTTATGATGACTAAGCTGGACTGCTGCCGGGGAGCAGTCCGAAACGGCATTCAACCCCGGTAATGACGGGGCCATAGAGCGGTCCGCGTACAGCTTTTGCGCGCCAACAGATAGCTGCAGAACGGCCCTGAAAACAATTTTCGGTCCGTCCGGTGACGCTCGGCGTCTGACCGTTTTCCGCAAGGATAATCGAATTTCCGCGCTCGCGCCATACCGGATTGAAACGACGCAAAATCCGATACGTCGTGTTGTCACTGTACCGTCGGAATCGTCGTCGTCGGAAAATCGTAAATATCACGGCAAAAAAAAAAACACGCTTAATCGAACCGCTGTATTTACGGTCCGTGTCTGAAATGCTAAAAACATCAATACACCGGACATTTTAATGTCACGGGCTTGTATGCACTCGGGACTTGGCCTCAGACGTCGGATGATTAGAAAGGAAAAAAAAAAACCTTTTAACGCTATAGTTCGCCAGAAATCCAATTAACATCCCTGAAATTCCTTGGCGAAGTACATGTACGTATTATCGTATTCCCCGTCCTTAAATACCGCGGCCAAGTATCGATTGCATAGACAATATACTGCAAATTATCAATAATTTATTTTTAAGACTTTCCGTATAAAATAATATTCTTTTCCGAGTGTTTTTACGCATATTAAAAAAAAATATATGGTAAAAAATAATAATATACAAGTACACAATGCACATGATAGATTTTATACTGTACGTCATAATATGACGTATATTATTACGAATATTATATTAGTATTATTATTTAATTATATTAACATTTGGTGTTATTATTATTACGAATATTATAGTGTGTTTTTAAAATTATTATGATTTGTCGTTCAATAATTTACAATAAAAAGCGATCAATGTGCATCAAATCAATCAATGCATTTCAAAAGACACTCTTTATCTCGGAAAGTAATCACTTTTTTCGGAATTTTTTTTTTTTGGACAATTTAAAAACAAGTATGTCTAAAACGATACGTTACCCTTATTTTTTGTCACGTTTATGTTGGTGGATGAAACCATCACTACCACATAACCATAATACTTTCGAAGATAACTTGAGTGCCTTACGTTGTATTGATCGATTGTATTATTATTGAAATGACGGTTTCAACAATTTTCAACAGTTTTCAATACATTCAGTTTTAAATTAGGCAATTTTTCAGCTTTCAATACTAATTCCGTACTGACGGCAATGTCCTGTTGCGTTCCCAAAGTCTCTATGTTCACGTACCTCAGGATTGTCGATAAAACCATTTTCATCTGGTATATCGCGAATTTTTGGCCTACAACATAATATTATGTAGATAAATTAGGACTAAAAACATTTACAAAATAAATCATACAACGAAATAAGTAAACATTAGTGTAAGTATAGTTATTTAAAAAGTTAGGCGAGTAAATAGAAATAATCTACTAGATTTAGTCGATTTAAACTATAAGAACAATTTACAAATTAACAAAAAAAAAAAAGTCATTGATTTAACTCTTCAAGTTAAATGATCAGATGTAAATGATAAATGATTTGTCATTCACGCATATTATTTAGGTAATATATTGTATACCTATGCAATTTCTTGGTCCAGCGCTAAACGGTAGATACGCGAATGGGTGACGTTCAGCGCATTGTTCCGGTAAAAACCTGTCGGGGTTAAACACTTCCGGTTCGGGGTACGTGTTTTCGTCACGATGTAATATGTGTGGACTGACGACCACTACTGTTTTCGGTGGTATCGTGTACTTATCTAAAAAAAAAAAATGTCAACCACATTCGCGGTCATGCAAATAAAAATATAAAAATGGTTTTATAGTTTTATTATTATACTCGTGGTGTATTATAATACAATACTAATTGGAATGTTATTCAATAAGAATGTATGCCAGACTGAATTCATTCAGACCAAAAAAATATATACATTTTTATGAATAAAAATGAAATGAATTCACATTTTTGGAAAAATCTGACATAACGTCTTTTTAGCACACGATGATACGCACTGAGGTAGAGTGGTTCTTTAAGCATTCGCATAATACCCGACACACTCGGGTAAAGTCTCATCGTCTCTTTTATAACCCGGTCCAACGTCACCATCGCTTTAAGGTCTTCCATTGTTGCGTGCCGGTCGCTGTCGCCGAATATTCCATAAAGCTCGTCTCTGACCGAATCCTGTTGAAAACAAAAAAACCATTGCGGTACAAATCGAGTACCGTAAACGAGTAGGTTAACTTAAACGAATAAAGAACAGGCTATTCAACTTTTTTACATAAAAAAAGTAACATTACTTATTATATCTCATACATAAATACGTTATTACATAACGTAGATTTTATATTTATGGCTGCGTTATTTAAATTTCTAAGCAAGTGTATATTTAACTACAACAGTAAACGAAAAATAAAATAAAATTGAACATTTAAAATACACATACTTGCATACTTCGATTCAGTCCCAAATGAACTATGGCCATGGTCATGGCGATCGAAGAAGTGTCATGTCCTTCAAAAAGAAACGTATCCACTTCTTCACGTATATCTTTGTCAGTCATTATGTCGGGATTTTCATTGGAAGTTTCGATCAAAAGATCCAAAAAGGAATACACTCGTTTCTTAACTAAATATTAAAATAAAATCACAATTAAAATATAATATAGGTACGAATTACAAAATTGTCGTCATCTCATTATTTATTTATATTGATTGACTAGCCATTTGTTGGACTTGTTTTATGTTCACCATTCTTTAAGATATCTCGCCTTTCCTTTATAACCTGATAATATCATAAATACAACTGAATTATTAATGTGTCTAACAGGCATAGGTATTTCGATGAACACGTGATGTGACTGTATAGTTACATTTTCAGTGAAACCGTGTAATAGTTTAAGCGATTTACGAAATTTTCTACCGAGATTAGTAAAATTGAAGATGGTTTCGTTCCAATACCAGAACGTGAAAATTCGTTGAATGCATACATTGCTGGCACTAGACAAATTATAATATGGTACAAATTAGAATTAAAGTTGTCTATATTAGGTACGTTATGGCGAATTTAAATTAATACGAAACATGTTTACTTACTTTTTGATCGCTTTGACGTAATCGACCGATTTGTGCTCTTGAGATCGTAAATTTACACCCATAATTGTTTCTGTAAACAATTTAAAAAAAAAAAAAAAACATTTAATTAAAAAAAAAAAAAAAGATCGACAAAATAAATAATAAGTAGGTACCGCACACAATATCCAGCGCGCAGAGCGACACATAAGATTCTACGTCTCGGACGATCCCGTCGTTTAAAGCGGACGCTTTGACCAAGTTTTTGACCAACTGTAGGGAGTGTTTGTTGAGCGCCGGCACGTACGACTCCAATATTTTAAAATGAAACGTGTTGGTCAACAATTTTCTCCGGGAATGCCATTTTTCATCTGCGAAACGGTTTCGATAGATTTACACATCGTTATTAATGTCATATACTGTATTGCAGGTATTGTTATTATGGTTATGAAGTAGACATGATACCATATAGGAAAAATACTCATAATAATAGAGTATGGAAGAGATGGTTAAATTTAATATAGAAAAAGATCTTAAACTCTAAGAATGCAAAAACGGAAGGCAGTACATAAAATACATTTCACGGCAGTCGGTAAACAATTTAGTGGGACATTGTGACAATACAAAGGCCGTAAGGAAATTTGGTATAAATGTCACTGAATACGGGATGACAGTGAAGAAGAAGATTATTGTCATTATTGTACCGGTGCTGGTCAAAAGTCCTGTGTTCAACCACGGTTCGAGCATTTTATAATCCGGGCCTTTTGTTATATGTTTTATGTCCGACAACAGAATCTACAAAACATTATTCAAATTATTGGTATAAATGCATTTTTCTCGTTTTGATAATATACAACAGGATATACCTTTATGTCGTCTGGATTGTTCATAATGACATAATGATGTGCCAAACCTTCAAAGTGGACCAACGACCCATAATTTTTGAGGTAGCCGTAAAATATAGGTAAAATATCTGAAAATAAATTGCAGACCAAATATAATAATATTATAATATTGCATTGATTTAATTTGGTGAAATAATTTTTGTTTTAAGTCTATTCGATTCTGAATGCTATTGGGAGCACGACAGTTTCGCTAAATATAGCAAACATGTGTTTTCATGGGCAATAGCCAGTTAGATAAACAGAAACGATAAACGTTACTATGATACCCTCTTAAAGACTTTATTACAGGATCCTCAGTGAGTTAAAAGTGATAGTTATGAAAAATACGGACCATTTTGTGTGTACGAGATTCAAATCAGACGTAATTATAATTATTACGTCTTATAATGATTAACTGCTGTTCAACAGATTTTGAATGGGTTTTTTTTGATAAAAGCTACAAAATAGATAAAAAAATAAAATGTGCCAACCGACGTGTAATCGAAAATTAAATCCAAATTTTGCGTTCACAATATAACCGTGGTGAACACATAGGTACCTCTTATACGTATGTAAATAATAATAGCTAAAACGTCGGTAGGTTCCTGTAGTACATATTCAAATAATTATCAACAAATAATCGATTAACCAAAATATAGTACTAAAAGAGCTGCGTGTACTTACCCCGTGCATTGATATTGGTTAGGTTCACGATTAATTTCAAACGGGCCCAATGAGTTTTCGTCAGTGACGGTAAAGATACGATTTGCCGTCGATATTCCGCCGAAGACTTGTTGACGTCCCAGAAGTATAATCCGAAAACCATTAGTAAGAGAAATGCCGTCCACGTATTGATGTCCGTGACCAACGATATTAGAGTTTCGAACGTGATCATTTTTGTCTATGTTAATTTAGGAAATAGGTACTCACGCGATTTATATTTCAGTGCAAGTGCTGCAGCGACTGCGAATACGAAATAATTTAACGTTGTATTATATACTAATTGTACAATACGTTTGTTATTACACAAAATTATTCAATCAATAATCGTTTATCTTGGGTCATTTAGGGCGTGTTCTCATTTCTATTCGAAAATATTCTTGTTATCAACTGCAGCCCGAGGGCGTGTAACCAAAGCCTCTATAGCTCCGTCTCTAAATACGCTGCTGTCATTAAATAGTTTGAGTACATTCACAATTTTAAGTTTTGATAACGCGCAGCCCGCAACACTGAAAATTAAATTGATATTGAATTACGAAATATGCAAACAATAGCAGAAAATAATAAACTATATTATAGTCGGCCTTTGTTCGATAACCGACCTACCATTAACGCATCATTATCGATGAAATAATATAATAATATGTTATTATAAATAATCGGAAAAAATCGTACATTCAGGGCCGGCATTATGGGGAGGGGGGGGGAGAGTCGCATTGAGCAGTGGGCACAATCGGGTCTCGCGCTTTTATTTTAGATTCTGAACATAGCATTGGTTTTATAAATGATGAGTACTTATGTTCAGTCTGTATACGACTTTTCTATCAAGCTCCAATCATAAAACAACAAGCGACTGTTTTTGTTGAATTTTGGATTTAGTTTGTGCATTGAAGAAGTAATTTTTTCGATTTTCTTAGCAGTTTACATAATAAGTGGAAAACATTACAAAACCGAGAGAAAACGTATAGGTAGGAAACACTAACAAATTTATGGCGTACATGATATCATTGTTTTAAAATTATACTATTTAAATTTTCTACCAGAAGTCTTGTTCCAAATTTTAAGAGTAACTAATTAGAATCAGCTTTATTTTTTTGAATTAATTATATAGTACGAAGTCGCAGAAGTCGCATCATTCAATATTCGGGAAAATGTAAATCGTAAATGATCATACAGTGAATCACCGAAAATTACGGATAATAAAAAATAATGTTCGCATACACTGTATCCATAATATATTGTTGTGCTTGTTCAACTAATTTTATATTCTTACTCGTTTCCAGAACATTATATGGTTTTTAATCACCACTATAGATTATCTATAACCACACAGTTGTTTTATTTATTAATACTTTATGTATTTACACATGGCTGAATTATACGAATATTATAATTTTGTTTACTATACGTTTTTTTGTACAAGTATTTTTAAAAAATAGATAAAAAAAAAGCTGTAACTGCTGATATTACTTTTTTAGAAGGACAGTTGAAAGGTAGTTTATATAGAGTAATTGAATGTATATTTGTACGAAACGATAAATCATTGCTAAGGAAAACGATTCTAAGTGGAGCAGTACCTTGGGGGGGGGAACGGAGTCATCCCTCCCCCAAACACCGTAGTCGAGTTGTATATTTTGGTTCACAATGTCTTTTAATTTACTATTTTCAGAACAATAATTGCACTTTTCCCCCCCCCCTTTCAAAATTATGTTCTATATCCACCTCTGGAGCCCTTAGTTGCTAAGATAACTCAGAAATCAACAAAACTTATACCGAAAACCGCTACTTTTTTCCGTTAATTAAGAAAAGTACAAGGAAAATAAAATATGCCAACCAGATCAATAATTATTCTACAAGAAAGTTACTATAATATTTTCGATTGGAGCAAGATTTCTGGTAAAAAAAAAAAAAACCGTTTTAAGACACACAAATAACAAATCATGTAGTAAATAATTTAATAATAAAAAATTAATTAATTTTATTTCTCTTTCGATCGTGTAAGTTTAATAATAAAAAAAAGGCCGGATATACTTCGCACCATCATGGTTGTAAGTGGGAAACTACAAGTTTTCAATATATAGAATATTGGGTAGGTAATTAAATGTTTGTACTGAAAGCAACGATAACTCATTGCAGTCAAAAAACGATTATGAGTGGATTTGTATATTAGTTAAGGTACACCTACGAAGCGAATTATTTGGAACATTTTTACTTGTCCTAAAAGTGTTTTCCGAGGACAAAATCTTACTGTTGAACAATTCAAAAGTGTTTTGATTATCAATTGAATGTTCGATATTATAAAAAAAATATTATAGTCAAATTAATTGAAAAACGTTGAAGATTCGCCTAAACGCGGTCGAAAAAAATATTCGCATCCGCTTGTGTAACCGGTAAAAGATATTGCGCAATGACTCGCTAAGCAGGTTTCACTGTATTAAAAAAAAAAAATTGAATAAGAGCGAGAGAGTTTACTTTTCGCATTTCACGATAGTTAAAATAATAAAAAGTGATGTCGTCTATACGGTTTACTATGAGTCATTGTTAATTTCGACGAATCGGCCGGAACCATTTCCAGTTTCGACCTTGACCGAAATCGCATTGCTGTTTTCCATACGTTAGTTGTTTTTTTTGAAAATATTTTTATTGTGCAGTTATAATAATATTATATGCCGGGAGAATTCTTTCTTTTTTTTTTTTTTAATTTTTTTTTTTTGTCGATAACAAAAATATGACGCGCCCGATTATAATATAACGGTACAAGAAATTACGTGTCTGGATTTTGCCTAACGGCGTAACGTCTCGGCGGCTGCGTTCGGAAAGACTGCGAGTTTGGTGGCCTATCCGGCACGTCTAATAATTCGAACGGTCGACGGAGCATAATGGATTTTTCCTTTTCCTTTTTTTTATTCTTTCTAAATCGACGTTCTAGTTAATACGCGGGTTAGAACCGTGAATACCTGTCGCCGAAAACACGGTTCATCTCGATATTTTCGCACGTATATGTGCGGTTTTTTCACTTACCCGACAGGTTAATTTTATTAGTGCCGCGGTGATATTGACCTCGATACCTACCTACGTACCGGGGTCTACGACACGACGTGCGATAGGAAGTTTTGACAGACGTCTCGTAATAATAATATTATAATATTATTTATTTATTTTTATCGTTATGGTATCGTTTGAGCTTTCACCTTTAATCTTTTTTTTCAGATATTTTATGCTTGAAAGAAGTATCCATTTTGAATTTTTAAACAGCATATCAATTACGGATTCAAATGGAAACTATTTTCTCGAAATGTTAATAGGTACGTTTAACACTAAAATCTACCACTAAATTTACCATTTATGAATTATAACGGATTAAAGTTTACACCAGAGGACAGATTTAATAATTCGTCATTTCAAAATAGATACGCGTTTTATCCTAAATAACGACATAAACTTTAAACTTGCTATTTAAAAATTCAAATTGGATACTTACGCATTTTGAGTATAAAGCGTAGGAGTAAAAAATTGAAAATTGGATTAATATAAAGCTTAAACGATTCCATTAATCACTAAAATAGTCACAAAAAATCATTTTGTGCAAATAACTCAACAATTTCGAAAAAAGACTTAACTCGACCCTATTTATTAGTTACATAATTTATGTATACTTTTTACTACTTACTTGACGAGGACTTGAGTGAATCCTCCATGGCTTCGCAGAATTTCGGGGGGGAGTGGGAAATCCCTTCGATTAGCGTTGAAGTAAATTTAGTCTATCGGTTTAGCAGTTTGATTATTTTATCGTGAATCGGAATCAACTGATCGTCAAGACGATTTTGGGTGTATTTAATTTCGGTTTTAAATAAACTAGGTAATATTTCCAAACAAATTTACCAAAATCGAATTCACTCGAAAAAACGTCTATAATGATAATCGCCGGAACGTGACAAAAGAATAATATTATCTCTACAAATAATGTTACGATTGTTGTGTTAGCATAATATTATAGTACAATAGTACATTCTTGAAATGCTATCGTAGTTTATTATTATTTTTTTTATTAAAAAAAAAAAATAATAGTATCAAACTATAATTTAGTGAACATTGTATGTGTTGATAATTCGAAGAGAGAAAAAAAAAACTTAGGTAAAACGGCTAAACACGACGGTGTTATTATAATTTTATTTTTTTCAACGAAGTCATTAAAACCCGTATAATATATTGTAATAAAATGATTTGTGATAACAAAAAAAAAAAAAAAAAATGAACGAGATTAAACGAAAAAAAAGGAAGTTTTTAATTATTATGTATTCGTTCGGGCTGTTTGAAATAACGCGTGAACAATTTGTCTAGCGTTATCGATTCCGTTAATTAGAATATAATAATATAATTTATTTCTGTATTACGATTTCCGTGGATTGATGTGTGACATTTGCTTTTCAAACGATTACCTATATTACAGAACCGTTTCATAGATAAGCGTTTAGACGTTTTCCAATACAGAATCTCGTTTAAAAACGATAAAGAAAAAAATAATAATAATAATCTTTTTATCATAACAGTCGTTTTAATTGTTCGGATTACGAAAAATATGTTGCTTAAGTAGCGTGTGTAACGATTTTTTCCCTCCTTCTATTTTAGTACCAATTATATCGTGTATGATTGACACGCAGAACGAGTTTTTTTTAATAATAATAATCAGACGACTGAATTAACATTTTGTATTATCGATAGGTACGCGTGTATTTCTTTCTGATACGACGAAATTAAATACCAAAATAAACGATATTGTAATCTCCTTAGTCCAAAGATGGATAAAAAAAAAAAAAAAATGTAGATATAGTTAATGCATTATGTTATACAATCAACAAACATTTTCAACCGAAACGAATCGACGGTGACAGTGTCCGAGTAACGTCGAAAATGACTATTAACTACTTATTGAATGCATAATTTTTTTTTTTTTTTTTAGTCAAAATGCGTCAATAATTAAAATAATACGGTTTTTAAATAGGTATGAATTTTAATTGGCATATTATAACCGTATATTATATAGGTTCCATCATCGTTGTTATTTGTATTATTATTATTATTATTATTTTTTTTTTTTGTTAACGGTGACAAATACAGACTATAATAACGTAGGTTTCTGATTCAATACGAATTTCGTTCACACGTCATTATTAATTTTCAGTTGAAATCGTGTACATCCGGACGTACTATAAAACGAGATATTTATTGTAATTTTTTTTTTAATTCCTATTATTTGACGA